TTTTTGGCTCCTACCTCAAAGCACACTGTGCGCTGTCGATCTTACGTGCTGCACAATAATGTTTAATATTTAGTATTTACTGTTATATTCCCATAGATCATCATGATGTTGTTTATTATGTTGCTCTTTTTTTTTCTTCTGCATGTTTTCTCTTTTTTCTTTCTCAACAGGTGATCCAGGTGATTGATATATGTATTTTTTGCCCTTTATCCCCATCCCTCTTCCCCGCTGTTTTTCTTTCCCTCTTTCTTTCTCCCCTTTCTTTTCCCCAGTCAAATCTGTCCCGTATTTAGCAAGTGAAAATAAAATAAAATAAACAATAAGAGGTGAATCAAATAGACCATTACAGCAAGGCTGGGATGGTCCATTTGGTAAAGTAAATCTGTTGGGCATCTTTCTTCGCCTTTAGACAATAATTCTGATGGCAAAAGAGCCAAACGGGACAGGCAAGAAAGAAAAAAAAGAAAAAGACAGAATGAGTAAATGCAGCGCTGCAGTTGTGTCAGCAACGCGAACAATAGTAGACTCAAGACATAGGAATCTTGTTCAGATATGTCCAGGTTTTCCTACATGACTAGTGAGACTAACAACTCTCTTGTTTTGAAGCCAGGAGCAGCAGCAGACTAGATCAACTGCACCAAGCTCTGTTTCGATCAAGAGCAATCATTCAAAGGAGTCACCTCTTGCTTTTAACAGACAACAATCTTCTGGAAAAGAGTTAGTCCACTGCAGTATCTGCTACACTTGCATTTATTAAACTGTTTTTTGGCAGATATAATAACAATAATGCTTTTGCCTGGTGTTTCTCTGCCAGGACTGGGGAGGTGAGGCCTGGTTGTCCTGTATCCACCTGTGATTCGGTCATGAGTGACCACTCCAAGGAGCCACCTCTTGCTTTTAACAGAAAGCAGGCTTCTGGCACAGAGTGAGTTAGCATGTAACTATATAACCTCAGTTTATTAACGTCACATCAAGTCTGTTAAAGAGCAAAGTATGTAAGTAGTAATGATTTTATGTTGCAGTCTAAACTTTTAACACATTTTTTTCATTTCATTATTCTTTATTCATTCTATTATTATCAGGACATTTCCTCTAGACTGCACGCCAAAATGACTTGAGGCAACATACTGAAACCCTAAAACTGTCATAAATCTAATACTGGTACACGTTAAAACACTGTGTGTACACTGAAAATTGTTGGAAAACTAAATAATTTGATAAGAGTGCGCAATAAGAAAAGCACCATATATCATTATTTGATCAACAGATTCATTCACGAATTAATCTATTTATTGTAATTTACCCACTCCATTCCTTTCTTTGTAAATTTGTCATATTAAAAAGTTAATGTCATGAAAATCTAAAGCCAGTGTGACTGATACCAATAGAGCTCTCTAGATCCAATTAGTACTTATGGTATTAGTATAAAAGAAAGTAGTCGTAGTAATGGAAAAAAATAGTTTAAAACGTATGATTTAGACTCTTTTTCTATTGGTTTCTGCACAGATTAAGTATTGTTAAGTTTTCTAATTTTGCTATTTTATTCATGCAGAATTAGAAGACAATGTTAATATAGATTAAAAAAATACTGAGAACAGCACAAGTTTAAAGATATTCGCTTTCAAGAGCAGGAAACAAATAAAGCAGCATATTGTCAGAGCTGTCAGCTCACGTTTGATTTTCCTAGTAATACATTTTTTCTGATAGAATTGTTCCTGAGAACATTCCTTCAGTGTACTTAACTAATTGTTGATTACTTTGAGATGTGTGACTCTAATGACAATTGATTTAAGGTTGTTTATTGAAGATTTTATTTTAATGTAATTAATTAAATTTTTATAATGATTTATATACATATGCATGTTGGCTCCATTCGTCTAAAAAGCAAAAGAGGCCTTGTTCAGTTCTGGGAGAACAACCATTTCTCTGGGAGAAATCCCTTGTAGGCTTCCTTAGGAAGAGCAACAATCACACAATCTGCCAGACTTAATATGTGGAGCTACCTGCTGTGGTGGCCCCTTATCAATAACAAAACAGTTGAGGTAGCTTGCTAGTTATATATGTTTATCATTATTATGGCTGCCATATCATTGGTAGCCATATATGTATATATATTTCATGTGGCACTTACTGAAAATACATTGAAGATCTTTGCAATCCATAGGATCAGTTCTCTGGCATTTCATTGCGTATTCAATAAAACCCTAAAATGGCAGTGAACCAAGTATCAAGCCTGTGGAACCCCGCAATGTAAACTTTAGTAATAATGGGGGGCTTTTTTGTGACTTTGCAAGTTTATTACCAATTTTATATAATTTAATAATAATTATAATAATAATAATTATAATAATAATTATTATTAAATAATAATTTTAATTTTATAACTTATAATTTACACAGTTCTTCTACCAATTTCTGCACTTTATTTATGAATTATTGGATTCATTTTGTGCAACAAGAGAACCATGTTGAGAATGATCTTGAAGTGGCAACATGCCGGAAAACAGTTTTCCAGTAAAATAGATTGTCATTCTTTATCAAAAAGAGAATTATTTTAGTGTAGTGTGTTTCATTTTTATTCACAGACTGTATCAGGACATCTCAGAGGTTCATAGTGCTTCATGTGTGGAGGACCATCAAACAGACATAGACTCAATATTTAAGGTAAATTTGTCTCAGTGTGCACTTAGCAAAGTCTCAGCAGTTTTTGATTTTTTGGTTTGGTTTTTTAGTCAAAGTATATGTTTCATCTTTTTATATAATTTTTCAGTTGCTTGAGGAGAGTATTTTCACTTTTGTGAAAGACGAGTTGAAGCGAATGCAAAGGCTTTTAAAATCAAAGTGTTCAGATGGAGAAATGGACACCGATATGAATGAGGGCATGAGGAGCAGCAGAGAGGCATTTCAAAACATCGCACTGCACTTCCTGAGAAGAATAAACCACGAGAACCTGGCTGATTCTCTGCAGAGCAGTAAGAACATTTTACAGCTGCATTTTAATGGATAGTATGTGAGGAAGGAAGACGATGAGAAAAAGGAAACAAATATACAGTATAAAGATGCCCTTTAAACTTCACATTGAGCAGTTAATGCAGGTATAACAGATTAACGATTTTATTATGTACTTGAAGCCCATTCATCATCACTGACTGATTGTCAGTTTACTGCTAATGCTTCAAGCTAAATGTTTTGACTGTGGCCATCTTGGTGTTATGAAACCACAGGTAACAATGGGGACAGTGACTATGGCCATAATCCTGTAATTTTTATTTTTTTTGTACATGGCTAAGATCTCAGTCACACAGGATTCAAAGCTGAAGACAGTAAAAAGTGCAAAAGTTGCAGAGTTTAGGTCTTTGCATGTTTTTCAGTGATTAATTGCAAGTTTGTTCTTTGTTGGAAAGAATACCGGTTCAGCATTAGCTTCATATTTCACACATAGAACAACAACCTTTTGTAAAAGTATCTGTGGTTTTAGTTTTCAAAATTGTCAGCAACCTCAACTTTAACATTATTTCTAACTTTACTTGTGAGGGTAAATTTGTATGTTGTTTTTGTGTGTTTATGCAGAATCCCCTGCAGTATGTCAGCGTAAACTTAAATGTAGTTTAAAAAGGAAGTTCCAGTGCTTGTTTGAGGGGACAGCTAAAACGCAAAACCCAACTTTTTTGAATGACATCTACACAGAGCTCTACATAACAGAAGAAGGGACAGGAGAGGTCAGCAATGAACACGAGGTCAGACAGATTGAAACCGCTGTGAGGAAACCGGCCAGACCAGAAAGAACGATCACATGTGAGGACATCTTTAAAGCCTCATCAGGTAAAGATCAGGCATGTAGAACAGTGCTGACAAAGGGAGTGGCTGGCATTGGGAAAACAGTCTTGACACAGAAGTTCACTCTGGACTGGGCTGAGGACAAAGCTAACCAGGACATCCAGTTCACATTTACATTCACCTTCAGAGAGCTGAACGTGCTGAAGGGTAGAAATTTCAGTTTGGTGAAACTTTTTCATCATTTCTTTACTGAAGCCAAAGAAGCAGGACTCTGCAGCTTTGAGGAATTACAGGTTGTGTTGATCTTTGATGGCCTGGATGAGTGTCGACTTCCTCTGGACTTCCAAAACAATAAGATCCTGACTGATGCTCGACAGCCCACTTCAGTGGATGTTCTGCTGACAAACCTCATCTGTGGGAACCTGCTTCCTTCTGCTCGGCTATGGATAACCACACGACCTGCAGCAGCCAATCAGATTCCACCTGGATATGTTGACATGGTGACAGAGGTCAGAGGGTTCACTGACCTACAGAAGGAGGAGTACTTCAGAAAGAAATTTGGAGAAGAGGAGCAAGCCAACAGGATCATCTCTCACATAAAGACTTCGCGAAGCCTGTACATCATGTGCCACATCCCTGTATTCTGCTGGATCACTGCTACAGTTCTGGAGGATGTGCTGAAAACCAGAGCAGGAGGAGAGCTGCCCAAGACCTTGACTGAGATGTACATCTACTTCCTGGTCGTTCAAGCAAAACTGTGGAGCATCAAGTATTGCATTGGAGCTGAGGCGGATCCACACTGGAATCCAGGGAGCAGGGAAATGGTTTTGTCATTGGGAAAGCTAGCATATGAGCAGCTGCAGAAAGGTCACCTGATTTTCTATGAATCAGACCTGACAGAATCTGGCATTGATCTCAGAGTGGCCTCAGTGTACTCAGGATTGTTCACACAGATCTTTAAAGAGGAGAGGGGGCTACACCAGGAGAAAGTGTTTTGCTTTGTCCATCTCAGCATTCAGGAGTTTCTAGCTGCTCTTTATGTCTTTCTGACTCTGACAAACTTTGGCGTGAATCTGTTTCAGTCTGAAACTTGGTGGTCAAATTTATTCAGGGACAAATCTAAGCTATCATACCTTTTCCAAAGTGTTGTGGACATGGCTGTACAGAGTCCCAATGGACACCTGGACTTGTTTCTCCGCTTCCTCCTGGGTCTTTCCCTGCCAACAAATCTCACACTTCTTGGTGGGTTGGTGACACAGAAAGGAAATATCTCTCTTGCCAAGCAGGAAACAATTGAGTATATAAAGAGTGTGATCAGGAGGAGTTTGTCACCAGAGAGAAGCATTAACCTGTTCCACTGTCTGAATGAGCTGAATGACCATTCTCTGGTTGAGGAGATCCAACAGTACCTGAATTCAGGAACCCTTTCCCCAGATAAACTGTCTCCTGCTCAGTGGTCAACTCTGGTCTTCATCTTACTGTCATCAGAAGAAGACCTGGACATGTTCGACCTGAAGAAATACTCTGCTTCTGATGAAGGTCTTCTGAGGCTGCTGCCTGTGGTCAAAGCCTCCAACAAATCTCTGTAAGTTTCCTGAAAAATGGGAAACAACTGCTAAAGAACTACTGCATTTAGCTTAATCTGCTGAAAATAAAGTAAGTCAGGAAATTATAATTTACTTAGAAATCAATGCATGTATATGTTTAAAAAATACAAATAGATTAAACAAAGAGAAAGCTAAAAGAGAAAAGCTTAAAAAAGGAAATCATGGGATGTGTAAATACAGAAAGAAAGTAAAACAAAAATATGAAATCATACAACTTCAACTTGAACTATATTTTCACTATTTCTGATGAGTTTAATGACATACTGGCAGTTGATACAATTACAGCTTCAGCAAAACTCTATTATTGATCAAAGTTCCTGATTCTTTCTAAGTAGTCTGGTTGTTTTGTTATGGAGAAATGCTCATTTTAATTACCATGAGATTTTGAGTCTTTGTTCCAGAGTTTCTGTATCTTAAATTTTGCTGTAATTTTTAGGAACGTTTTTGGGCTATTTAATGCACTAGGTCTGCATGCATTATTTTCTAAATGTTCTAGCTGTGATTATAAAAGCTATGAACGATGCATCCTCTATATGAGAAGGAAAATTTTTATACAATTTACGCAGGATCTGAAATAACACACTGAAAATACAGAGCTGTTTACTTGGGTACTTAAAACCTGAATTTAATACCATAATTACTTTCAGTAGTTTCTTGTTGGTGACCACATGAACATGCATTTAATGCATGGCCAACATATAATAATACATTTTGGCAGATATCAGTAGATTTTTTTGTTGTGATTAACATTGCTCCCTTTTGTATGAATAATAAACGTAGGTTGAGTGGCTGTAATCTGACAGAGAGATGCTGTGAAGGTTTGGCCTCGGTTTTTAGCGCTCAGTCTTCCACTCTAAGAGATGTTGATTTGACAAACAACAACCTGCAGGACTCAGGACTGAAGTTGATGTCTTCTGGACTGAAAAATCCACAGTGTAGCCTAGAAAAGCTAAGGTTTGATCAACACATTTTGGGCAAATTTTCACAGTCGTTTCTGCTGAAACTGCTAAAAATTGAACAGAAATGGTAAATGTCTAAACGAAACATGTTTATATTCATCTTATTACCAGGTTGAACCAAAACAATCTCACGGAGAAATGCTGTCAAGAGCTGTCATTAGTTCTAGAGACCTCTCATTTGAGAGAATTGGACTTGAGTTACAACAATCTGCAGGACTCTGGACTGAAGCAGCTCTCTGCTGGGCTAAAAGGTCCAAACTGTAGACTGGAAACACTCAGGTTGGGATATCCTATTTTACATATCAACTAACAATCTGTGGTGTGACATTTAAAATAATTCTGTATGTTGTGTTTTGTCTTTAAATTGTGCACTGATTTATATTCTTCTACAGGCTGATTGGTTGTAATCTGTCAGAGAAAAGTCATGATACGCTGTTTTTCATTCTCACCTCCTCTAATCTGAAAGAGCTGGACCTGAGCAAAAAAACAACCTGAAGGATTCAGGAGTGATGCTCTTCTCTGAACAGGGAAATCAGCACTGCAGACTGGAAACGCTCCGGTTGGATTATGACTTATGTTAAAGTTTTACGTTTGGATCTCAAAGTCATTAGCTCTTTTAAAATTAATTTTTGGTTACATGCTTATAATAAAATCTGTGGCTAACCTTTAGACTTGTGTTCTACAACAGAATTATAAAGATTTCAAGTGTCCCTGAGAAGGTGTTTGCTAGCAAGTACCTAATTCAGACATTTCCAGTTTTGGGGGATTTGGGGCATCATTACTTCATTTACAGAAGCTTATTGATGATGTTCAAGTCACACAACTTGATATTATTCATTTGTAGCCTGAAATTTGTATTTTATTACTTGGAATTTATGTTTCAGAGATCATTAAAAATTGCATATTTTGTTCAACATTACAATCAACATAATCAAATTTATCTTTAAAAACAGATGTAAATTTCCAAAACATGTCCTGCAGAACTTATTTTGCAGAATCATCCAAAAGTAATTTCTTTTTAAAAAATAATCTCTTTTAAAAGTAATCTCTTTTTAAAAATCCCATTGGCTTTTTTTTTTTTATTCAAGAGATGTGATGATAGAGACAGTGTGATGGCAACTTCCATCAAACTCTCTTGGCCTACACAAAACACGTTTCCTATGCCACTGTATCACATCCCATAAATGTTTGGTTTAAAAACATTTTAAGATATATCTTTTTATTTCATCAAATTGAGTCGAACTGGTCTCACAGAGCAATGCTGTCAAGGGTTATCATCAGCTTTATGCACAAAGGCGTCTAGTCTGAGAGTGCTGGACTTGAGTGACAATGACCTGCAGAGCTCAGGAGTAAAACTGCTCTGTGAGGGACTTGGAAGTCCACACTGTCAACTCCAAACTCTAAGGTGAGGTCAGGTTAAGACGTACTTGGCTACCTTGATTCTGCAACTGTGACATTAGATGTAATTGCAAATGCTTTGTCCTTTGGTAAAATGTTTCATATTCATAAGATGCTTATTCATAAGTATAAATAAAACAGCTAACCTGGTACAGAGAACATTTTGTTTGTATTTGATTATAGATACTGCAAATTTCTATAAAATTGACCTTTTTAAAAACATAGTCTACAATGCTCTAAAGTATACATGTTAAAGACCTGTATCTCATTTGTTAGGTTAACTCAAACCAACCTCACAGAGCAATGCTGCAATGACATCTCAACAATTCTTAGCTCCCAGTCTTCAAGTCTGAGAGATCTGGACCTCAGTAACAATGATCTGCAGGATTCCGGAGTGACATTTTTGTCTGCAGGACTGCATAGTCCGTACTGCATCCTGAAAACTCTCAGGTCAGATTTCAACTTGTAAACTCTTAATACTTTCTATACATAAGGTCGGTTTTGGTTATTTGTTACTTTTAATTTGAGCAAAATTTGTGTCAATCTTTTTTTGTAGGTGCACCTAAATGAAAAAGCTATATCAGTGCGATGGATATAGAAAGTTATTTTTATGTCATGGTATACTCATATATATATATTAGGGGTGCAACGATACACAAAATTCACGGTTCGGTTTGGTTCAATACTGTGGTGTCACAGTTCGATATTTTTTCGATACAAAAAAAATGTTCATGCTTTTTTAATTTGTCATTTATTAAAATTATAAATATATATTTTAACTCAAAAGTACAGTTTTTAAATTTAATGTTGCTGAAACAACAAAGTAATAAAAAAAAATCATATCTGATTGAGGAATCACTCATCTTTGGAAAAGAGAGTTTATTACAGAGAAATGGCTCTTTCCAAAATAAAAGCTATACTATACACTTCTTCTGGGGTATATTCTCAGCAGCATATTAACCTCTTAAGCCCCAAGGGGGTTTCTGAGCTTCCTGCTCAAAAATGTAATGCCCAAATTTAATTGATTATTTCTTTGCAATTACAAACTCTGTCCTTACAATCTTGGTATCAAAATAAAGCTAACACTTGGGAAACTGGAACACAGAAAAAGTAAGTAGATTTTATCCTCGCCTAATTTTTCTTTTTAATTTTTAGCATATAACCCTTTGAAAAATATGCCTCAGATCACATTTGGTTCCAGAAATCCAGTCACCAACATATAAACATCATCTGTGCAAAGATTTATGTTATGACGTTGTACAAAAATGTCCAATTTTGGCACACAATTGGACACCATGCCAGTTGATTTTTTTTTAGGTATTAAAGAGCAGAAATTAATAAATTTTATTAACAGGCCTAAACATGCTTTTTTTAAAAATATATTTTTGAAGAATTAACCACACATTTACATGGCAATGGCCCTTTTCTGCAGCGCGTATAGAGCGTTTGATTGGCCTCTGGCCCTTTAAACTCCGAGGGGCTGTAACTTTGGTTTCTTTTGGTCAATTTGCGTGATTGACACCTCTTTTTAATGTTTGAGCCAATAGATTCACAGTGACAATACCACGTTCACGTCACTTCAACCAATCAGACGTTGTGATGCCAAAACCCACGTGGGCCCAAATTTACTGCATGTGGCATCTGTTCAGTCACGTGTCTGTAGGTGGGTCTAAAATGGAGGCTGTTGACGGAAAACTGCTCTGATGTGGCTAGGTAGGCATGGCAACTACTGTTAATCATGTGGCTACCGGCTACCGGCGAAAATAACGGAGGAAATCAGGATGGTAAGCCAATTTCTGTCTTAGCGCATTTGCACCGCTGTGTGTTTTTGTGGTCTTCTTTTGTGGCTCATTCAGTGAATTTTGGTCTGATTGTGGTGAAACTTGGTGTGTGGAGTCAGTGATAGCTCTGGAAGCTAACCAGCCCATCTTTAGCCAGTTACACGAAGTCTGAAGAATTTCTGGTTCCGTTTTGTTTGTTTAGCGGACTTCTGCGCATTTACGTAACTACTCGTTTAATCACGCTTGTTTTTGGTGTGTTTGGTGGTTGTAGAAATGGTTTATATGATGTGATTTCCTCCTTTTTGCCCGTACTGGGGTGTGGGGCTTAAGTGGTTAAACATATCAGGTCCCCATAAGGAGAATCATGTGCTAACGGCTGTCTAAATGACTCAGGTAAAGTTTGTAGCATGCCTGCTT